AAGGCAGCGGTGTTTGGCGGGAAATACAAATGCATTACCATTTCTACGGAACAAGTCGCCACATGTTCCAACCCCCAACCTGGAGGGCCAGGTGACTGTGTTCGTCAGACCTCTAACCATTGACCAACCTGGTGTGAGAGACTCTGTGAGTGTCGCGAGACACTCACAATAACAAGCCACATTCGTGACCTTCCCCGAAAAACAGAAATGTATTTTCTAACTGCATAAGACACTGACGGAGGTACAAGCCAAACGCGTTCTCCTTTAAGGGCAGGAACGGGGAACCCACGAGTGATGCAATATCAGTGTTCGACGTATATGGATAACAATACAGGGGCGGATGTTGAGCCTGAGCAAACCCAACCTTGTCGAAGCATAAGATCAAACGAAGTCTCACCGGCTGGGTCTTCGTAGGAGAGGACATTCTCCAAATCTTGCACAAGATCAACTCATTCTGCGCGTTGGGGCTAGACGAGGTTCATGAAAAAATCTTCAAATTGATGTCGTTTACACCGGCAAACCACCTCTACCTGGTGTTTCGTCAGTCGCTTGATGGAGACCATCTTCCCTCTGCTTGAAAGGAAGTGATTGTCACGCAAATTTGCAAAACTGGTGACCGAATATCGCCTATGATCTACGGGTTTATAAGACTCACTAGCGCTCCGTGCAAAGTGATGGGACGCATTACGATTCGAGCTATCCTAGATCACTTCACTTACAACAAATTGATGTCTCCAACTCAACACCGAATTCTCCAAAGCGGCTCTCACGTGACCAACATGCTCGTGTTTATGGACAGCTTAACCCAAGCCAAGGAAGGGAGACTCATGTCGGATACTACATTTTTCGACTTCTCAAAAGCATTGACAAGGTCCAACACGTCACGCCGCTCCGCAAACTCGAGTCTAATGAAATTCAAGCGGAAATCCCACACTGGATCAAGGCGTTTCTATCAGACAGACTATTCCGAGTGAGAGTGGGCTCTACCTGTTCTTTTCAAGTGCCTGTCTCCATTGAAATCACTCAAAGCTCCGTTCTGGGACCACCGCTGTCTCTGATATGCGTCAGCGACCTTCCAGATGTTCTTGCAAGTCCATGTCTACTTTTTGCGGACGACTTGCAAACCGGGAGTTTTAATGCCACTGCCCTACAAATGGATGTAGACGCTGCAAAGCAGTGGTCATTGGACTGACACCTTCCTTTGAATGACGAAAAGTGCGTCCATATTTCACTTAGAGGAGACCCAGAGAATGCCTTTGTCATGCATGGTGAGGAATAATCAGGATATATCATGAGGGGAGACGCCGAAAAATTATTTGGGTATCTGGCTCTTTTCAAACTTGTACTTCTCACTGCACCATGAGAAATCGCCCTAAAAGGCATTCGCCGTTCTACGAACGATTCGGCACACCTTTTACGGTATTACTCACGTGGAATTCCGGATATATTATGGGGCCTAAACCAGACTGCTTCGTGAATACGCCAATCAAGCCGTCTACTCAGGACACACGAAAGACCTCACCCTCATTGAGCGTGTCCAGCCTAAATGGTTTCCGGTCTCAAGTCCGTGGACTACGAAACGCGTCTCGCGATGCTTGACATCTTTACCGTGGATTATCATCACATTCGAGAAGACAAACTTGTTCCTTACGCCCTGTTCCAACAAGGTTTGGCCAAACATGTTTTCACAGTTGACTGAACAAATAAGCGGCGATGACAGCTCAGAGTACACACGTTCACCAGGCAAAATTTTCTGATTTCTGGTAGTTTCTGCGTGAAATAACCTTCCTCCGATAATTGTCGACTCTCCATCTAGAAACCAGTTCAACGCACCATTAAACACTTATGTGATGGAACGCATTCTGAAGCGAGCCATCCTAGATCACCTTACTTCCAGCAATCTGATATCTCCAGCTCAACACGGATTTCTCCCAAACCGTTCTTGCGTGACAAACATGCTCGTGTTTATGGACAGCTTAACCCAAGCCAAGGACGAAGGACTCATATCGGATGCCA